GATATATAATACTATAAAATATATAAATTAAAAGATTAAAAGAATTATATAAATTTAAGCTATTTATATTTAAAATAACTAGCTGGATTTCTTATTAATTATAATAATAAGTATAAATAATTAAAAAGTATTTTTAATAAGTTTAAGCTTATTTTTTTATATATATAGCTACTATAATAAATTAATCTACTTAATAGCAAATTATATAATTAAAAAAAAATTAAAAAAAAAAGTAAAATTCTTATTAAAAACTTTATATTAAAAGCTACCTTTTTAAGAATCTTCTATATAAAAAATACTATAAATTATCTATTTAAATTTAAAAAAAAGAAAAGAATTTTCCTCTATAGCAGTCCCTATATAGTTTTTATAGTAATCTTCAGAAAGTCTTTAGAAAATCCTTAGAAAGTCTTCAAGAAGTCTTTCTGCCGGTTGCCCAGTAACTTCCCGTATTCTCGGAGATTATTCCGCCGGTTGCCCGGTAACTTCCCGTGCTCTCTCGGTAGATCCCGGCAGTTGAGTTTTGGTCTGACTCTGGCTTTAATATAGCTATAGCTATATCTCCAGGCTCCAGCCTGTAACACTTTATAAGATAATTATAAGATACTATAGAATAAATATAAATAGCTATTACTATAGCTTAGAAGAAGTAGAAATAGTTTTCTAATAAGTTTTATATAGCAGTTTTAAAATATAAATTAGGTAATTAAATTTATTTAAATTTAAAAAATATAAAAACTATAAAACTATTAAAAAAACTAAACTAGCTATATATTAAATACTAAATAATTTAGAAAGTTAACTTTTACTTCTATTAATTAAATATGTTTAATAGAATTTATTTAATCTTTATATTAATTTATTATATCTAGTATTAATAAATTACTTACTCTTATAAAAATCTAATAATATATAATTAATACCTATTCTAATTAATAGTAAGAAGAAGTAGTAGGTAGAATATATTTTAAATAAATAGTAGAAGACTAAGAAAGATATAAAATATAAGAAGGCTTTAGTAAAGTAGGTTAGTTACTTTAAGTCTATATAGAAACCTATTAGTAACCTATAAGCTACTGCTTAGGAGAAGCTCTGGTATAAGAACTATAAGAGGAGCTGTAAATAGCTTTTAACTTCTTCTTCTAGAAGGGAGGAGGGTAATATTATAGGCTAGGGCCTATATTTTTATAGCTATACTGTAAGATATACTTAGCTTATATATACTAGAATGGGAAATTATTCTATAGTTTAGGGGTATTTAGATTTTTTTTTTTAATATAAATAGCATTCTAAACTAAATAGCTGGAATATAGTTATTAGAGGCTATTTATAGAAATTAATAGATAATAATTTTATTATTTAATTACTATTTTTTTTAATATTAAATATAATATTTATTATTTATTTTTACGATTTAAGATTATTATATAGCTTTAATTTATTTAATAATATTAAATAAAGCTAAAAAAAAACTTAAATAATATATATTATAATTTTATTAATTTTATTTATATTTTAATTTTTAAAATATAAATATTAATTTAATGTATAATATTTACCTTAAAATTATATAATAAATACAAAAGCTTATTTTAAATATTCATTAAGAGCTTTATTATATATATCAGTATATCAGGGATATTATATGTATCGGAATATCGGATTTCTATAGTTATAGCAGATGTAAAGCTTTTCCTCTATTATTATAGGCGTCTATCGCTACCTGCCTCGTAACCGGCCTTGTTATCAGAATAAGCCCTAGGCCTAGCTTTTCCTTGATTTTATCAATAGCTAGTTGAAGCTAAAGACTCCAACAGATCCGGAGCCTCTCGGCTGTCCGAGGTTATCCGAGGTTATCATCGCCTTCATCTATAAGACTGACCTTAAAGACCCTCTATTAGATAGGAAGAATATCAAGAGCTTCTCGCACACATAATTATTTCCATCTGCTAGATGCAACAAGCTTTTATAATATAAACTATCTTGCTAAAGCTAAAAGTATATTTTCCTTATAGTTTCTAAAGACTTTCTCTACAGTATTATTCTAATCCCATACCAGATAGTTGAGTTTTTGCCGGCGTTTGTATATAGTCAAAACGGACTTAACGGAGGGCGTTTTTCTTGCATCTGACATGGACTGTACAGGTTAATTGTCGGTCTGGCAAAAAGAGTATCCTGCCGGTGTCGCCTTGGGACCGCCCGGCGCTGTTGTCCTCGTCATTGCCGAGCTCGTCCGCATCCAAAGCGGCATCGCGGATCTCAACCTTCTAAGCGTCATCTCTCTTGCCCGCGCCTGGCTGGTCGAGCGATTAACCGCAGGCAATCCACAGGTTATTGGTATGCTTATGAAGTGGAGGAGAGGTCGGCCCTGACAAGAACGGAGAAGAATTGTTATGCTCCTACAAGTAACTTGCAGCCTCCGGACTTTCTGCAGCTAGAGGAATCAAATAATAAAGCCAGATAATAAAGCTAGGTATGAACATATTAAAGCCAGATATTAAGCTAGATAAAACCAGTAACTACTTAAGAAACTGAAGCTTAAATAGGTATAGCAGTATTTAGCTTGAGATATATAGCTCTGTAGCATATTAGATCTATCTAGAGGAGATAGCAATCCTGAGCCTCGACCAGTCTACACCTCCGCGCCTCTTAGCTGATTCTGCCCCGTTAATCTGTCTGACGATTGGTTTATCTCACTGCTTGATGGTATGCAGGCGTGCTTCTTGCGCTGGCACCTCTTGCTCTTCCTGCAAGATATTATCGAGCCTGCTCAGCCTCATGACTACCCCGCGATCCCGATATTGCCGTTCTATTTTTGAGCAGCAAATAGTTAGCTGGTAACTTCCAAAGGATCCTCCCCCACCGCCCTCGACGGAGCTCCAGCTTAAATGCAACTGCCAACAACGACGCGGCGACCTTCGCAGCAGCCTGAATATCCGCCTGAATCTCCCCTCGATCTCGTCTCCTAACGACAGGTCACTCATGGCAAGACGGCAGAATCAACGAGACAACTTCCCACCAGAATTCTGGGATAGCCTGTCCAAGGTTTGGCTCACGCCGCGCGCCCTGAGGGAGCATGATCGCCAAAATAATACATCTTCTCTAAGGTTTACAGCTCCCGAGGTATATTCTACAGCTCCCGAGGTGTATTCTGCAGATCTTGCTCGATTTGCAAGATATAGCGGCCCAGATCTTTATCATATTTATGGGGTAAGACTGCTATTTTGCCTATATCTTAACCAGCTATAATCTAACCATGTCCGATCCAGCATCCGGAACCGCGATCCAGCCCTCACACCTTGACCTCCAGCACCTCGTCAGAGAGCACACGCACACGGTCTACGACAACAACGACTGTCTCTTCTGAGGGAAGACGGTCCTCGGTGTACGACAAAGACTTCGAGCAGCACATCATCGACCACAACATCTACACAAACAACCTAAAGTCGACGCCCAAGAGTGGGACAGATCTACGGTCACCGTCGGGGGAGAGGACGAGACGCTCCCTCTCGCCATCCCGTTTCTCCGATGGCGCTTTTGAAGCCTTCCAGAAAGTACACGATGAGGTGAAGTCGGAAGAAGACGTAATGCGCGAGATCATTCCTGTCATCAGCGGCGATGCCAATATCGCGAACAGTGGCAACGTTGTCTTCAATAACCTGGATTCAATCACCGATGGGACAAGCGTCAATGCGAAGCCAGACTTTTACGACGGGGCTTATCCTGAGGATATCGACCCAGCCGTCGAAAACAATCTAGATGGCTTGATCATACCCTCCACCTCCAACAATGGGCGCCACCCCTGATGCGGAAAGACCGATCCTGAGCCTCACGCTCAGGGTCGGGCCTGAGGCATCAGGCCCTGTGCGGTCACGTGGGTCGGGACCCTTACGGTCCCGAGCCCTCGACCGCAAGATAGAGAAATGAACCTTCTTTACACATCTTCATGACACCCTCACTTACGTGACTAGCGACCCTATTCGCATCAACCCCGCAGCGCCTAATCTGTTCCTCGAGGCCAAAGCCCCTTCGAAGGATGCCGACGTCGCCAAACGACAAGCCTGTCTCGCCGGGGCATACGGCGCCCGTGCGATGCACGCACTGCAGAACTACGGTCAAGAGGAGCCCCAGTACGACGGTAATGCCTACGCCTACAGCTCGACTTACCACGCTGGAACCGGCACGCTCAAGCTGTACGCCCACCACGTTACGGCGCCGACGACTGAGGGAGGACGGCCAGAGTACCATATGACGCATATGAGGACATTTGGTATGATTGACAGTCGCGAGGCATTTGTCCAGGGAGTCACTGCATTCAGGAACACCAGGGACTTGGCGAAACGACGCCGAGACAAGCTCATCCAGGCTGCGAACGCCAGAGCGTTTGAAGACAACATGGTCGTCGCACATGAAGGCCTCGACACTGCAACCGAGATACAGTATGAGGAGGACTCGACCGATGAGCCAGCGCTTTCCTCTCATCATTATCCCTACGCAGATGACGATTCGGAAGATGCACTTGGTCAAGCATCTGTGGCGGCGGACATGAATGATCTGCCGATGAGTTTCGTGACGAGCTTCACGCCGAGCTTCACGTCGAGCTTGAGCTCTCACTCTCATCGGACCCGGTCCAAGCGGCAACGCAGCCCGGGTTCAAGTGCGCCAGAGCAGGGCCCATCCAAGAGCCGATCGCGCCGTATCAGCCCCCGCATCGCCCGCGCCTCTTCCGGGTGCAGCGCAGGCGGGTGCAGCCGAGTCTAGTCGGGTGGAGACGGATTGGCGGAAAGGGGAAAGGGAGGCTTTGTTTCAAGGATCCGCAGGGCCAAGAAGTCGAGACTTGAGGTGATGGTGGTGGACTGGGTGGGGCAATTGTCGGATGATGGAACTCGCAGTCTCTACTGGTCTGGGCAAGTGAGCTGGCAATAGAACCCACGAAGAAGCGGGGCGCAGCAAGTGAGGCCATCGCATCCATCTACTGTAGGTACTCAACATTTGTCGCCTGTGTGAGACAGGACAGCCAGCCACTTTTGCAAGTGGCTTTGTAGGCGGCCCTCCCTACCTTCTGCTTAATCTTAATCGGTGTCCCTACTGTAGTGTCATTCTTTTCTGTAGGACCAGGCAACGAGGCCAGGCCAGGCATCAAGGCCAGGCATCAACCCAGGATCATCTCATCTCCCTCGGATCGCTCCAAAGAAACCCTCCGAGAGGCGTCGTCCGATGGCTTGCATTAGCGCCTTTCAACCTCAATCAGTGCTTCCCCCCCTTCTTGTGCATGGTGCCCGTTTTGGAACTGGACCATTCCCGTTGCCGCTTATCCCCTTTTGGATGCAGCGACAGCGATCAATGCGCTAACCGTTACTGTAGCTGTGTGCATTCTGGTGTGCATCAGCTTGGTGCTGATTTGACAACACACACCCCGCTACGGAGTAAAAAGTTCACAAAATTTAAATGATTGGCAATGGAGAGACAACGTGTGTATTCCGGAGGGGCACTGTACTCTGCACTGTATCCCATGTGTGTGGGTCATCTTAACGCTGATTCGACAACACAAACACCCCGCCAAAAAGTTGACAAAATTTAATCGACTGGTGATTAAAGACTAATGTGCGAATTAAAATCCCGACTGTAATGTGGCACTGTGAGTACCGCCTAAAATGGAAAGCCTCGGCAACTCCCCGCACGGATGGATGTTGGCCCGGTCCATCTCGCACTGCTGCACTCTAACTTATTACGGGATCCCGCGGCAACTGGCGCCTCAGCCGCCATGTGGAGTGTTGGCTCACGGCGTCATACCTAAATTTAGTTGCAATACTGTGGGTTCACTCTCATCAAGCACATTGTCACCAAGCTCACCAAAGACCTCTGCCCGCAGGTCCTCGCGACACTTCGGCCACCAGCACGGGCCCGGCATCACCATCACGGGCATCAGTGGCATCATCGAGTCGCAGATCTCGCCCTCGCATCCGCATCGTTTCCGATCCTGTGCGGTCTCGCGCCCAAGTTAACTATGACCCTGGTTTTGCCGAATTCGTTGATCCTGACACTGACTTCGTCTTCATGTGTAGAACATCAACCCGATCCCGTTCGGGTGCGTGTCTCTCTCCCTGCTCTCGAGCCAGTTGATGTTGTCGATGAGTTTCTTGTGCTTGTTGACAGTCGGCCATACAAACTTGGTAGGCCATGTGTCCAGGCCTGTCTCGCCGTCGAAGTCGAGGTTGACTAGGTTGCAAGGCTCGAGCAGGGTTCTGACCGAGTTCACGCTGGATGCTCCTAGTCTATCTGGTTCATCAAGTTCGAGTCCGAGGAGATCATGTCGTCCTTCTTCGCAAACCCGTTCGTGACGAGGTACGTGCCATCCGCCGGGTCTGTCCTAGGACCCCACGCAGTACTCGTGCTCGTTGCAGGGCTTGTTCTCGCCCCAGTTCTCCAAGTTCATCAACGCCTCGTTCTCGTTGAACCCAATGCCCCAGATGCTGTAGTACGGGCTGGCCTCGATCAACACCCTGTCGCCGGTCTTGATCAGCTTCTTGATCAGGTTCGAGTCCCGCGTGAACTTCTGCATGTTCCCAGTGATGATGATATCCACGCACTTGCTCGTCCAGATGTTCACGTCCAAGTTCTTGACTATTATCCCCATCTTCTTGTGTTCCCCGGAGTGATTCTCGGGCGTGTTCAAGATCTCGTACGCCATCCCGTTATCGTTCAAGACCCTGGCCTTGCTGTACATGGTGAACTGCTCGGCAGTCGCGAATGTCATCCCGCCGTGCGTAAAGGGCGAGTAGAACCACTGACAGAGGAACCCGTACTCTTGCGTGTCCTTCCAAAGAACAGGTACCCCTCCTCGTTGTTGCTCGTGTTCATGCTCATGTTCGTCATCTCGCTCTGCTATGTGTTGATCCTCCACCGGGGAGCGTGTAGGTCTCGATGATCCGCATCATGGTCGGACGGGGTTGACGTCCATGACCGTGGTCGGATCGTGGTCGAGTTTTCGTTTGGTGGTCGGGTTTTCGTTCGTATACTCCAGCGTGTATATGCTCCGACCACCTACCACTCCATCTACGAGCCCTTGATTATGGTCCCGGACCCGTGTCTGTCGGTATCGGCGTTGGTGCAGCAGTTCTTGCACAGATCAGTTTTGTTGAGCATCACCCGTGTGGCACTCGGCGATCTTGGTCTTATTCGTCTGCCCAACCGTCGACATCTCGGTGTCGATGGTCTCGACCTTGATCTAGGATTCGTGAATGTCGCCGATTGTACGGTAGGACTTGACTACGATTTGTGTATATCGGTGCGGTACGAGTCTCACAGTCATTCATACACACGTATGTAAACTTATAGCACATCCTGTCCACATTCGGGTACTCAGTCTTATTGGGTTCGTCGTCAGGAGCAGTCTCGCGACTACGGTCTTGCATATACTGCGGCACCTGTAGACCGTCGGATTGCGGTTTTCGTTCAGGATTGCGCTCGTGTTCGTAACTGCAATTATATATATCAACCTCTCCTTGGCGACGTTCGTGCTGATCTCCGTGCCGACGCCCATGTTCGCGTCTAGGTCCTGGTTGATGTTCCCCCCATGCTGGGATGCGGCCACGTCGACCGGCTCCGACTCCTCGCCCTCGAACAACTCCGCGGCCATGTTGAACCTCTCGATGTCGTCTCCCTCATCGCCATAAACGTGGACGGGCAGCTGGGTTAGCACCTGCCGGGGTAGTCAGTCAAGTATCTGACCTTGCTGATGTCCACAGTCTACTGCTTCCACTCGGGCATATCCACGACCTTGTTGATGTACATGACCATCTTCCCGTACTTGCCGCAGAGCTTGATCCTGAGGTTGCCCTTCTTCGAGCAGTTCTTGCACTTCAGGGACGTTATATAGCATATGTTTACAAACCGGTTGATCTACTTGTTCTTGATGACGTATTATGCGATGGATGTAGCGCCAGCTCGACTCGCACAGGACCCTGAATATTATTATAAATATAGTCAGGAATGCGAACGTGGACAGGTGCGTGACCTGCGGCTTGAGCAAGAACCCAGAGGCGGCCGACTTGGTCCACACGAGGCTGGGTCTGGATGAGCCTCCGGAGCCGTCCGTCTACAAGTACAAGTCCGCGCACGAGTCCGTGATCCTCATCGCGAACAATGTCTCCCAGGCGTTGATGAGCGCGAATGTGGACGTGCGCACGAGCATGGACACGGCGCTGAACGTGAAGGTCAACACGGCCATGGTCCTGATCATCTCCAGAGTCTAGCTTATAGAGTTGGGGGCGAGGAAGAACGCGGAGATTTCCAGGATTGTCTACCCGTGCGCGGAGTCGGGTATGTTCGGCGTCACCATCTCGAGCAAGATCACGGAGACGGGCTGCAGCTGGCTCTTCACGGTTGGGTTACGACATTCCTCCCTTCGGAAGAGTCGACGACCATCTAGGCGGATGGGATCGCTCTAGAAGCAGCGCTCTTCAATCACCTCTTACGGCTAATGTCTCCCAACCGGAGTGTGCCATTTAATCTTCATACCGCTTGGGCCGTACTAACAGCATAAAGGGGTTGCTCGCAAACTGCGGGCGGCCGACGCCCGCCTGCGCCAGAATTTATAAGAGGGCCATTCAATTCCGTCCATGTCGGATCAATCTTAGCTTCACAGCTAGGTGGGAACAATTCGGACGGTCGAGCGAGCCAGTTCTCGCAAGATTCTGCGCAGAAGGACCAGGCCTGGGCCGCAGGTTCGGAGAGTGGTATTGGCTCAAGACTCGCAAGATCGAGTATTCCGCGTAGCGAGAACGGAGGATGGCACCCAGCGAACGGAAAACCTACAACGGAAGGGGTCGTCCACATCCGCTACAGGGTCCATGCCGCCGGGTTCAAGCGAGTCCCATTGGGTAGAGACGTATAGGCGCAACAGAAAGGTATACTTTACGATTGCAGATGGCAAGGAAGTCAAGACCGAGACCAAGGACTGGATGGGAGAGACAGCAGCAGATGGAACCCAATGCTTCTATTGGCAAAGTCCCGTGTCAGGACAGGCATTTTGGGCGACCGAGTTACCAAAGGAGGCAAAGAAGAAGGGCCGTCGACGCTGAGAGGAAATATGATCACCCTGACAAAGTGAAGGGCTGATGAGATCAAGCTTTGGGGTACCTGTTGAAGGGCTGTCGGAATATGGTACATATCTGGGGTCCTAACCCCGCTGTTGGATCGGCCAGCACCTTTCTGAGCAGTATCTATAGCGTAGCCATTTGCCGATACAGCCATGAACGCTGCAACAGTCACCGAGTACGCGTTGGGCGATTGGGCACTTGCTGATGCAACTATATCAACGTTGATGACACACAGACGTCGCTCTCAATCAAATACGGTGTACATGAGGTTGCCAGAAGATATAGAGAGTGCTTCGTAGTAGAATCCCGAATAACTTCGTCCTTGGCCCGGACGCCGCCTTCCCTAATGCCTGATTCTCCCTACTGCGAATTCACCAGACATTATTATACAGCCAGTCCACAAGCTGAAATATAAAGCTCCACCTTTCGTCGTCCCCAAATTGGAGTTGGACCCTGTGCTGGAGTTGAGGAATATCTGTTGGCGTTTCGTTGACGTCGAGGAGTATCTGGATGATATTGACACCACCAAGAAGACGCAAGATCTCGAGATCCGCGATTTCACTCCACCTATTTACACTCAGAATCACGTTCTGGACGTCTGCCAGTTGCCACTCGAGTCCTGCATTCCTCAGGATCAGGCTGTGAGTACTTCCCTCGCCATGAAACCAGTTAGCCTCCTATGTCCTCTAGCCGCCATAGCCAGCCTAAATGCGGCTGGCGAGGCTGGAACCAGGCTCGTTGAAGGCGATGTGGCCGTCTTCACCAATGCCGGCGAGGAAGAGGTCGATGCCGCCGGCGCGCTTGATGGCGTCCTCGTAGGCGACGCACTCGTACTCGAGGTTGGGGGCGTTGCCGTTGAGGATGTGCACGTTGGAGGGGTGGATGTTGACGTGGGAGAAGAAGTTCTTCCACATAAAGGAGTGGTACGACTCCGGGTGGTCGCGAGGGATGCCGACGTATTCGTCCATGTTGAAGGTGATGACGTTTTCGAAGGAGATCTAGCACGGTCCTGTTAGAGAGGCTAGACTTTGCAGTCTTGATGGAAGGGGGGAACGTACTTGGCCAGCCTTGTACTTCTCGACGAGGATCTTGTACACGCCCATTGGGCTGGAGCCCGTGGGCAGGCCGAGGACGAAGGGGCTCTCGGGCGTGGGGTTGAAGGCGGTGATGCGGTCGACGACGTACTGCGCAACGTAGGCGCTAGACGACGCAGCGTCATCGCGGATGATCAATCTCATGATGGGCGATGTGGTGGGAGCGAAGGGAGGGAAGTGAAGATCAGGTGAAGAAGAGAAGGCTGATGATGGTGACGATGACGATGATGATGATGACAAGCGGAAGTTGAAGCCGAAGATTAAGGGACAGGTTCTCAAGGTAGGGTTGCTCGATCGTCACTTGAGACCGAGGAAGAGCTAGGAAGAAAGGAAAGAGCTGGAGAAGCAAGCCTAATAGTAGGGGGAAGAATGGAAGAGCTACCTTAGCTAACGTCAAGCCCATGGCCGGCAGTGACCGTGAGTAAGGCGGCAGAACCGGCAGGATCACCGGGCACCGAGTCACGAAATCGCAGCACGGCAATTCATCAGGCCAACAAACCCACTGCATCTAGTAGCTACAGTGCGTAAGATGCTACGAGAGCCAAGGGAAACGACACAGGGTGACACATTGGCACATGGTCAGAGAGCCAAGAGGTCTATCTGGTCCACAAGCGCGCTCTACCAGGCCATTCCGGGCTTCTGGGGGTGCGTCCAGCAAGGAAGGGTGTGTGCATGACATGTGCAACATCGGTCGGGCGCAGGGCAGCAGAGAACGGACTTCAAAGTTATTGGGCAAACAGTAAGGTGCATCAAGGATGCCACAGTGGAATGGGATGATGGGGGAATAAAGTCAGGTTGACGAACAAATGGACCAACAACCAGGCTGTGGATGGAACGTCACTGCAAACGACAGCGTGAAGACGTCAGCGACAGCGGCAGCGGCAGCGACAGCAACAGCGGGTGACTGTCACATTACATTAGTACATAGGGAAGGGACATGCGGCCCCACTGGGGGCCCGCCCAGTTTGGAGAAGCGGCGGCGCCAAGTTCCAACGTTGCCCCCGATGGGGCTTGGAGCACTAACACCTCATTGGTTGATTGGGTGTGGATTGATTGGAGTGCTATTGGTTGATTGGGGCGGGGGTGGACTGGAGCGTGGGAAGGGGTCCCGGGTAGGTAGGTAAAGATGGAGACTTAAACGATGGGGTGTTGGTAAGTGGGGGTCAGGAAACAGAAACACGAGGTCGGTCAAGTCCTGTGCTAGGCTCCTGCATGGAAGATGCAAAGGAACAATCAGCGAACAGAGGATGAGGTTCCATGGCAAATGCTGTCAGCCAGGGGTACGGTTCGAGCACGCCCAATATACATCTATTGCGGTCTAATACACATGACCTTTTTGGCTAACCTCCAGGCCGGGTCGCGACACATTGAAGCTAATCCTGCTCACCCTAGTGTCTTGTTCAGCCAGGCAAACTGGTACCTGTTCCACTCCTGCCCAGCTCCAACTTGGACGTGATATCCAGCTGTTCCATTGAAGAACTTGTAAGTTACCTTATCGCCGAGTGCGTCCTTGACAACCTCCGGCTGGCCAGCGAAGAACCCCTCGAACTCGGAATCGACGACAAGGACGGGTACGTTGATCTTCTCAACAACGTCCTTGAGAGTGTACTGCTTGAGCGATTCGAGCCATAGGTACGGGGAATGCTGTTTGAAGCACCACAGTCCGTGTCCTAGACCCCAGCGCACGGCTGTAGGCACCTGTGGGCTATCCAAGAGCGGCAAGGCAGCCTCGTCAAATTCCTCTTGCTTGCCCGCAGCGAGAAGTTCCTTCAGGTCCGGGGTCAGCTGACCGGCGTATCCCTCGTAGACATCCCACACGCCGCCATTGAGAATAAGAGCCTTGATCCGAGGCTCAAACGCAGCGGCACGAGCGGCTAGATACCCACCCATTGAAACGCCAACAAGGACCAGCCGGTCTTCATCGACGAAGCAGCCTTTGCGATTCATCAACTCGTCGATCACTGGCGTGAGAACCTTCTCCCAATCAGGGATGAAACCAATGTCATCATTGCGGCGAACCGTGGGCTGCCCTGGCCCTTCGTAGGTCATGACATTCCAGCCACGGGCCAAGGCTGGTACGACGAACGAGTGGTAGGAATCTTCCTGGCCGGCATCGTATCCGTTGCCGATAACCAAGGTCGGCCGTTTGACCCCGTCGGCTGCGGCTGTGTACCAGATTGCTTCAATGGTGAAGTTGTCGGTCGGGATCTGGATACGTTCGCCAGGAACGGGCAGTGCAGCAAGCGCCTTGTCGAACGCAGCGCGTTGCTCGAGCCAGAAGCTATTGATACGAGGGTCCGTCCAGTTCGCATGGTTGTAGAAGTCGGCCTGACGGTAGTAGCTCGATGCGGCGAACCAGGCTTCCCGGACGTTCAATGGATCGTACGCATTGTCCGCATCCTCGGCTTGCTTCTTGGTGTATTCGGCCAACGCGTGGAAGGTCTCAAGCCAGCTGGTGAAGTTCCCGGCCTTGATGTCTTTCGCTGCGGCCAAGGCGTCGTTGACGTCGCCAGCCCCGAATATGGTGTTTCCGAGGGTGAAGAGCAGCTCGAAATGGAAGCTTTCATCCTTGCTCAAGAGGATGATGGGATCCTCCGGCTCCTTTGACGAAGATGATGGCCCAGAGTCGCGGGAGAGAATGGAGCTTGAGGCTACCGTTGCCCCCAGCAGAACAGCGCTGAACAGGGAAGTTGACTTCATTTTGAAAGGCACTCAGAAGTAAGTGTATAGTAGAGAAGATTGGGTAGAGTTGCTGATGACGGTATTGATCACGTTACAATGTTCTCGGCGATGCACTGCCTTTTATCTTCATTTGCTTGTTCTCGCAATCTGTTCCAGCGAGAGCAACCCACAACCAACCTACACCTACACTATGCACCATCCGTGCATCGAGCCTGTTTGCGATTGGTGTTTTCCTGGTTGCGCACTCCCGGGAACCATGAGGCTATCGTGAATAATACCGCGACGACTAGGACGGACAAGGCAACTTCTTTGCGATTGGTCGCCTTGTAATGCTCTGCCCCTCTCTAGTTCCAGCCACCCCACGGCTTTCGCAACTCCCATCGCAAACACTGCCATAGTAGCATAGCCCAGCCCGTAAGACCTAAGTCTTACTAGCAACGCTAGTCCGGCAGATGAGAAGGCCTGGACCATCAATTCATCACTGAATTCCGCAATGAGTCGCTATTATACGTCACCACCTGTCCGAAGGCTACCAAACGTGACTAGATCTATGTCACGCGTAGCTATTGTGGTCATAGAGTGATGTAAATCTGCCTTATTGTGTACAAAGGGAAATGCGTGCGTGCGCGTTCCTAATAAACCGCGCTCAGTCCCTGTCAGGGGCTGCTTAGTAACTCCATTGAAGCAACTGTCCAATGCTCCACTTTTACTCAACTCAACAATCTATGATTCGTTCGCAACGCTATCTAATTTCCGCACGACGGTATTTATAACTCAGTCCCTGGATGCGGCGAATCGCAAACAGAACCGGCCGCGTGGCAACTCTCAACCAGAAGCGACATCGGTCCTCGTGATCATTGCGCAGCAGACATGGTCAACCATGGCCCCTCAAAGGGCTGCTCGACATGTCGCAAACGACGCGTCAAATGCGACGAGGACAGGCCAAGCTGTCGTGAATGCCTCCGGCTGCGACGGGTGTGTGGAGGTTACGAATCAGAGAAAAAGACAGGCGGGATTCGGTTCAAGGACCAGGGCACTGGTGCAAGGCTCCTTTCGCCGACATCACGGTCCAGGAGCCCTCGCATGTCGACAACGCCAGAATGGACAAGGCAGGCTGTCATACCAGCAACGATTACCCCCAGCGACGAATCATCCGCTGTCTGCTTCTTCCTCACCTCGATCGCGGGCTTAGGACGCAGCTTTCACTCGACCCAGGGCTTCCTGGAGCCTCTTTTCCCTGTCGTAGCCAAGGAGCATCCGGATTCTGTCCTCTCGACCGTCCTGACCGCCGTGTCAACGAAGCTCTGGAGTTTGTGGAAAACCCCAACAAACAGCTATCGAACGCCTCATCCTCCGTTTACCAGGGCGTTGAGTCGCCTGCAAGCAGCTCTCAATGATCCCCTCGAGCGGTCAAAGGACAGTACCGTCCTCGGCGCTATCTTGATGCATTTCTACGAGAGCCTCGCTGCTCGATCGACGCACCAGCGTACCATGCGCGCCCACCAAGACGGGGCTCGTGCATTGCTCGAACATGGCGCCGGGAGCGTCCCGGACTCGGATTGCCGCGCATACTTGAGGAGCTACCTGCGGCACTGTGATGTGTCGACATATATGGAAGTGCAACCGGACGACACCTCGGGCCTGGATGTTTGGTTCGATGCGGGGTGGGACGATTCTATGCCAGCTAACCCGAGTGCAGTCTTGGACCTGATCGGGCTCTCGATTGCCGATTTGCAAAAGAGACTATCCACCTTCATGTGCGGGCTGGCCAAGAATAACCTGGATGGTCTGGCCCTCGCGACTTGGTGGCAGGACGCTTCGTCCGTTGACGCACAACTCTTGGATTGGGTTCAGTTGGTGCCGGCCTCATGGCAGCCTTATGCAAAACCCGAAGAAGACACCTTTGCTTACTTCGGGTTCTGCGATATATACCCGACCGTCCAGATTGCCACGATCTGGAATGTATGGCGCGTTTGCCGGCTCATGGTCCTGCGGATGGAGCTCTGTCTGCTTGCGAAAGCGCCCCCCGAGGCGCTGCAGCAAACCATCTCGATTGCTACCAAGGAATACAGTTTCCCAGATCCCAATCGCGGCAGGGAGTTGGTGGACTCCATCTGCCGGTCCATGCCGTTTTACATGGGCAACCGCCAAAATCACGGAGGCATGCACGACTTGGCGGACCCAGCGATCAGAATCCCCAACTACCACGACCAAGACTTGGACGAAGCCGTGCGTACGCAGTATCTCCGAGGGGATCAGGCGATGAGTCTCCTCGATTACAAGCGACATATACTGGTTCAAGGCCCTTCGCACGCACTGCTTCACTTGAATAGCCTGATCAAAGTGCTGTCAAGGGAGGGCGGAGAGCTCATCTGTCGTGGGCTGCGTGGGGACCAAGTCGTCTGGATACGGGAACAGTTTCTCAGGGTCTGCGAACTTACTGACCCGGTTAGTCGGTTTAACTGGTAGTGAATCATATGCATACCTTGCAATGAGTCAAAGCAAACTGCGATATGCATCTACCCGCGATATGCCTGACCACGCCTTGCCGTCTTGGGCAAGGTAACGCGTGTTGTGACCATCAGACCCCCATTCGAAATTCACCTGACCCCGATTAGTGCGACTAACGAGGGAGAACCTATCCCTTTGGGTGCGGTAAGACTACACTTGCGCTAGTAGCAGAGATCTGAACCAACTAAAATGCTGCACATCAAAGGTACCTCTGCCTCCACCTATTTTATGTGGTGATAGAAGTCCCAGCAATTTCCCGATTTACAAAGAGGTACATCACACTGCTCACAACGCCAACGCGATTGCCGTCTGCCGCTATTACCGTTGCCGGCTGTTGCTTCCAACGGCGGCCGCGGTCGCCGCGACCGCTGCTCGCCTAGCCGTACGTTCTGACAAGCCCGGCATGCTGACGGATTCTTCCTTCGGACCCAATTGTGCTGTGAGACAGGCGTAAAGTCGTCTCCAACCCGAAACCTTTTGCGGGCTTGACTTGCTGGTGCGTACGCAGCCATAAGGTCATCAACAATGCGTTGCCGCCAGTCCTCTGGGTCAGTTATCGGCTGCCACTGTGGCTGCCCTTGCTTCTGTAAAATGAAGCTATTCACAATGGCTATTTCTAGCAAAAAGTCCCAAGCAAGGGTTTTCCAAGGGCCCCTACGTACACGGCGGTTAGGGCCCCAATAAGACCGCCGTTGGTCACCGCAGTCTACTGCGTTCATCTCGAGGTTGTAAGCAGCAGCGATAGATGGGATAGAAAGCTCCTTAACGGGCTCATCACTGAAAAAACGCTGTATCAGCCGTGACTGAATTTGGTCCCCTGTCGGCTTCTTCCTCTTGCAGCTGGTCCTTTCATCACCCGTAAATCGGGTTGTTAAGAACACAACGAGGGCATTGTCTTTCCACACAATCTGATTAACCTAATAGAAGACAAATTAGTAAGGAAATATAGTATAATTATGTCTTTCTAACTGACTTTATTATCCTTAGTAGGGACGGCTTTGACTTCGTTAAAAGGAATGCTGCCTTTTGCTGTGTTATCTGCAGCTTTGAGGCTGACGAGGGATTCGTGTAAGCCGGCGTTACGGCGGGCTGTGCCTGTGGCCCCGTAGCCTAGCTGCCGGTGCCGAAGAAAGAGGCCGGGTGAAGAGAAAAGGTTATCGAGAAAGACGTGATGTGTGGAATCCGGCAGCAGATTTACTAGGGCAACAACCACAGCTTGGGTTGGGTTCAGATAGACCGTACTTCTCTCACGGAACTGCTGCCGGCTCCACCGTAGCTGTGACCCTTGGAGCCGTCGAGCCGGCCGGACCCCTACGGGCCCGAACTTCCGGCCCGGCCTGTGCCAAATCCACCGTAGGAAATAGCCCTGCTGGGCCACAGCCCACACTTTGAAACCCGTTGGCGTAGGTTTATTAGGGACAGTTGTTGTATCGCGGCACCTTCCGAGGTAGCGGACCATGCACTCATCTATAACGATACAGGTGCCCGGGGAGAAGAAAATAGTAGACATGTGCTGTATGTGGTCAGACCAGGCATTGACCCGGCTGTAGGTGCGGCTGTAGAAGCTTAAGGCAGGCTCCTTATCGATCGTTGTGAAGTCCCAGAGACGAAGATGTCGTGATAGTAGCTGGAATCGGTCATAAGACATGTAGTCGGTTACTGGGTGATATGAGGTGAATTTCCCGGGCTTAAAAACCTTCCAATAGTGCTTGATCTTTGGTATCATATTTAACTGCATATAAATAATGATTGCAATCCACATATAGATTTCAGTAACAGAGGTTGGCTTCCAATCTAACAGCCGAGACCATGGCTTCAATCTGCGGCTGCTGGCCTCATACTGCTGCAAGAGGGAACTAACCCAGCTATTCATATAGCTAACCCAGCTTTCTACTAGGGAAATGGGTAGAAAGGCCTGGAAAAGCAACAGCGGCTGCTGGGGTAAGGCTGCTATGACGGGGGCCTGGCTTGGAAGGTCCATTGGCTCAAAGTCGTAGCCGCGTTCCAGGTCCGGATTTTCAATTGGCCGGCACGTATTATCCTCAGGGCGTTCACGGCAGCTGTGATAGTCAACGCGGATGAAGCTGTCGTCGTCATACAAGTTGACCGCTTGGCTAGGGGGCAGTTGGGAATCCATAGGGATACAGAGAACGCGTTGTATGAGGAATTGGCTGGTGTTGTTTCTGAACGCGCTCTAGGTCACTCCCTTGTACTGCGGCGCGGCAGGGGGGGGTGTGGGGCGGCATGGTCAGGTGTAGTCTTACCGGAGTACGCTTCGGGTCCCCGTGTGAAAACTTAGGCTCCCCGTGTAATTAACCTAATTAGGAATAGTACACGCTAGCCATCACCGCCTGCCAAATAAGGGATCGCGCTTACAATTTCAATTTCCCAATTAGGAAGTATTAACAAACCACATGATATCCTTCATTGAAGACTCCAACAACTACACTATTACTCGAAGACAACCTGTTGCTTATATAGCAGTAGGTTACCTCTTTTGACCCGATGCCGCCATCTCTGACATTTTGGCTGACTCTCCTCGTAGCCCTCTACAACTATGGTATCTGCCTGTATAGGGTTCTGTATGAAAGATCTAGGACTGTTGGTCTTGATTGAAGGGAGTAAGTCCTCTAAGGGAGGCCGACTTCCGGCTAGAGGAAAATAACGCAGATACTCTCTTAGTCCGGGATGAGGTGCTTGTTGAGATGACAGTAGAGGACCAAAATACTTAAAGCTTAATAGTAGCCTCTATATCTCAATTTATAATATAGCTGATCGTTAAGTAGTTTAAAATTATATATTTACTCGTAAAATAACAGACTGTTATATTATACCTTATGTAGCTGCTAGCTGTATTTATATTATTTTATCTTAAATAATCCCTTAAATAGCTTGTAATAATATATTAAGGTTATTAGCTTATAAGCTAGGTTCTTAGCGCTATAACTGCCTCGTTAGTATTAATATTGCTAACTCTAACTGCAATGCTAGCTATAATGCTGGCTGTAATAATCTTGCTAGCTGTAATTATATTGCTAGTAGTGGGATTGTTAGGGTGGTATTTTACAGCTGCCTTCTTTAAGAAATAAT